CCACACTGAGGGCATGTGTATGGTTTCTCTCCAGTGTGGATTCTCATGTGCTTCTTAAGGACTCCTTTTTGTCTGAAACTCTTTCCACACTGTGAGCAGGTGTGAAGCTGTTTGTTTTTTTTTCTAGAAGTTTTGATTTTACAACGTTCCTCCTCCACTTCATTCACCTCATGTCTTTGCTGTTGTACTTCCATCCAGTCTAAAATAAACAAATGATGTTGTTAAAATCAGTTCAAGTGAACCTGATTAAATAGCAGAAACCAAAAAAGGTCACATATTTATCTGAGTATGAAGTATCAGATCTTTGATGTGTCAAAGGTTAGTTCTGTCATTCCTTGTTAATAAAATTAAAATGTGGATATGATCAGTTAGATGATAATTTATCGTTGCTCATTATTTCAGAGCCACTAAATATTTTTAACAGAAGCTTTAATGTTTCTCAGCAGTCAACAATGAAGAATCAAGAAAGGACACCAACCTGTTTGTTCCTCAGTATCTTCGTGTTTTATTCTGGATGGTTCTGAAACACTCTTGTCATCAATCTCCTCTTTAACAAACTCCATCTTTACCATAGTATGTGTCAGATTTCAGCTGCTGCACCTGGAGTCTGCACCAGTCCTGTAGGATGACATGAATGTTCCTCACCTTTTAAACACAGTTAAAGCACAAACTCCGCCCACCACAGATTCTAAAGATTTAATTGGTCGTGTCAATCACAGTGACCGCCTACACAACACTGAAACAAATCCAGTGCAAACCCGTGACCTTAGTATAGTTTTATTTTTTTGTGTCAAATCAACCAAATTACAGAGTGAAAAAAAGACTGGAAAGATGGCACCATCACTATTTTATTTTTATACAGTGATTGGTAATTCTATAAGTACAATCTGTTGACTTCAGCAATACTTGTTGCATTGTGACAGTTCAAGAATGTGAAAAGCACTTTTATGTTTTTATTTTTCCATGAAGTTTGCACTCCTGTATCTCAATAAGTATTAAACATATCTCAATAACCTTTTAGGTGGTTAATGGTTCTTAACAAACATTTCTTTAAATATTCTCATTTTTTAACAACATATATGGTTGAATTCTAGAGACGTGGAGATATGAAATTGTTAAATTTTCAGTGTTCAAAAACCAAACGTGGGTCACTTTGCATAGCTGATAACTTTTTATTTTAAAGAAGAATGTCTGAAGAAGATGTCATGCTGTATGATATATTGTGTTTCGATGGCATTTTCTTTTCATCTGATCTCTTTATGATGCCTAAAGTAGTGTTAAGCGTACTATAGTAGTAACTGCTTTGAATATGAAGAAATGCTGTTTTTCTGCTTTTCTGTAAGTGCCATTTAATGCTACAGAAACCATTCCTGCACTCATTGTTTTTTTTGTTTTTAATTGGATTAGCATAAATTAGAATTTTCATTCAGGCTGTCTGTCGTTTTTTATTTAAACCAGTTATATATAACATAATTGAAATGCAAGGTTTATCATTTTATAAAATGTTTTGGTTTTGTCTAAATGTTTTTTTTTTACCTGAATTAGTTAAGCGCAAGCCCCGCACTACTGCTGATTTCATTGGTCAACTCAATCACTCAGTCACCCTTCAACAATATTGTAGACTTCTTGGATTCAGTTCACAGCTCTTTCTGGTGAGAGAAATACATAAATGAAGAAGAAGGACAAAATATTAAATGTCATGGATGAATAAGTACTGAGTAATCAATCAATTTTGACGAGCAGGGTAATTTTTTAAAGGTAAAGATTTGAAGCCAAATTACAGGGTAAAAAAATTACGTGAGAAAGATTGCTGCATCTTATTTTATAATTTTGAACAGAGGTCATTTAGTAAAATCAGTTGAGTTTAGCCACAGCTGCTGCATTATATGCCAATGGTGACACTTCAATGATGGAAGATTCGATTCTTTTCTATACTAAAAGTTTGTACTGGATTTGTTTCAGTGTTGTGTAGGCGATCACTGTGATTGACACGACAAAAACTGCTACTTATGTCTTAAGTGAACGTAATCAGTTGAGAAAGAAATATTTGTACATTCATATTGTCAAAGTAATTGCAATTAATGCATGCAGTTAAAATGAGAATAATGAAAAACAACAAAAAACTAATCAGTGTAACTTGACAATTCTTTAATAATTAACAATTAATTAAGGCTGATGATACAAGGGGCAACTTTTTGAGCAATTTTGCCGGCCAACTTTTTTTGAGCAATGTTGCTTGGGCACTTTCCCATTAAGAATGGGTAACACATTTCTATCTGGATACTTCAGATCGGCCGTGGGCCCTGTGTCTCACCTGGTTGCCCACTGACGGCAACATTAGCCAAATGTTGCCCCATGTATCATCAGCCTAATAGCAGAAACAGAGCCGTAATGTTTAACTGAGCTGCTGAAAAGACAATAGTTCCCTGTTTTCTCCTCATTCATTATGATGATGTCTGAGATCTTCTGTAAATTGGCACATTAAGCTCATTTCATTGTGTGTCAACAGACTGAGACAAACTACAGGAAACTTTTTGAGCAATTTTGCCGGCCAACTTTTTTTGAGCAATGTTGCTTGGGCACTTTCCCATTAAGAATGGGTAACACATTTCTATCTGGATACTTCAGATCGGCCGTGGGCCCTGTGTCTCACCTGGTTGCCCACTGACGGCAACATTAGCCAAATGTTGCCCCATGTATCATCAGCCTAATAGCAGAAACAGAGCCGTAATGTTTAACTGAGCTGCTGAAAAGACAATAGTTCCCTGTTTTCTCCTCATTCATTATGATGATGTCTGAGATCTTCTGTAAATTGGCACATTAAGCTCATTTCATTGTGTGTCAACAGACTGAGACAAACTACAGGATCATCACTTTATATGATAATCACCTATTGATGTGTATTTTTAATCTTTTACCTCTCAGGTTAAAGTTTACTATTAAAAGTACTATGCAAGACTACAAAAACCATTCCTGCATGTTTTTGACATTGAAATAGCATAAATTAGCATTTTCATTCAGTGTGTCTGCCGGTTTTGTTCAGACCAATTATATATTATACATTATACAGTATATAACGTTTTGGTTTTGTATTTTTTTTCCACCGCTGATTTCATTGGTCAACTCAATCACTCAGTCACCTGCCAACAAAAGACTTCATGGATTCAGTTCACAGCTCTTTCTGATGAAAGAAATACATAAATGAAGAACAAAGCCAACATATTAAATGTTATGGATGAATATGTACTGAGTAATCAATATTTTGTAGATGAGAAATTACAGGGTGAAAATATAAATTATAAATATAATAGTTATAATGTTAATTATATGGTTATAAAGTTATAAATAACTCTATAAAGACTGCAGCATCATTATTTGGTAGGTCTATGAAAATCAGTTGACTTTAGCAATGCTTGCTGCACTATATTCCAATGGTGATGCTTCAAAAACTGGGAAAAAGCACTTTTTGTATTTTTTTTCCTGAAGTTTGCAGGCCTGTAACTCAAAAAATATTAAAGATATCTCAGTATCCTCGTAGATACTAATTCTTCACATACTTTTCTATTGGTATCTTCATTTTTAAGGTCCTATGTGGTTTGGTTTGATAGAAAAAATAAGATGCATTTCTAGTTTCAAGATTATTTGTTCCTCGTACATTCCTCTGTAAATAAGTAGCAGCTGTATGAAAATGAGCAAAATTCAACAATTTACTCATATAGACACATTGCGATCCCCATATCGCTGGGATTGAAATATATAGGACTTTAAAAATGAGGAATCAAGGAAAAATTGTGAAGAACCAGAATCTAAAATCATATTAAGATATCTTTAATACTTCCTGAGATACAGGCACACATACAGCATATTTTTGGCATTAAGACAGGTTTGTTCTATGCAGTTGTTTTGATAGAGGGAAACAAGTTACATTTCTAGTTTCAACATTATATCTTCTTCAGACATTACTCTTTAAAATAAAAAGTTATCAGCTATGCAAAGTGACCCACATTTGGTTTCTGAACACTGAAAATTTAACAATTTCATATCTCCACGTCTCTATTGGATTGACACGACCAATGAAATCTTTAGAATCTGTGGTGGGCGGAGTTTGTGCTTTGTGTTAAAAAGGTGAGGAATATTCACATGATCCTACAGGACTGGTGCAGACTCCAGGTGCAGCAGCTGAAATCTGACACATACTATGGTAAAGATGGAGTTTGTTAAAGAGGAGATTGATGACACGAGTGTTTCAGAACCATCCAGAATAAAACACGAAGATACTGAGGAACAAACAGGTTGGTGTCCATTCTTGATTCTTCATTGTTGACTGCTGAGAAACATTAAAGCTTCTGTTAAAAAGATTTAGTGGCTCTGAAATAATGAGCAAAAAGAATGTTAAATTATCATCTAAATTATCATATCCACATTTAAAAAAATTGTTTACAAGGAATGACAGAACTAACCTTTGACTCTTTTGGTTTCTGCTATTAAATCAGGTTCACTTTAACTGATTTTAACCACATCATTTGTTTATTTTAGACTGGATGGAAGTAAAACAGCAAAGACATGAGGTGAATGAAGTGGAGGAGGAACGTTGTAAAGTCAAAACTTCAAGAAAAAAAGCCAAACAGCTTCACACCTGCTCACAGTGTGGGAAGAGTTTCAGACAAAAGGGAGTTCTTAAGAAGCACATGAGGATCCACACTGGAGAGAAACCGTACACATGCTCTCAGTGTGGAAAGAGTTTCAGACAAAAGGGAGTCCTTAAGAAGCACATAATAATCCACACTGGAGAGAAACCATACACATGTCCTCAGTGTGGAAAGAGTTATACTGATGCATCAGGTCTCCGTTATCATCTGCACATTCGCTCTGGAGAAAAGCCTTTTAACTGTGATCAGTGTGGTAAAAAGTTTATTTCTTCATCAAATCTAAAAAAACACCTGACAGTTCATTCAGATGAGAAGCCTCATGTGTGTTCGTACTGTGGAAAGAGTTTTTCACGGCTGACCAGTTATAAACGGCACCAGAAAACACATGACGAAGTGCGAGATCACATGTGTGAGTGTGGGAAGAGCTTTACTAGAGCTGATCATCTGAAACATCACCAAAGAATTCATACTGGAGAAAAACCTTACAAGTGCTCATATTGTGACAAGAGTTTCCCTGAATCTGGAAATCTGAAAACACATAAGAGAGTTCATACTGGAGAGAAACCGTACCACTGTACTCAGTGTGGAAAGAGTTTCACTCAGTCAGGAACTCTTGTGACTCATATTAAAAAGCATTGTTCTGTGTCAGAGTGAGCAAATGTTTTCTACAGATTCAGTATTTCAAATAAATGTTGTGAGATTCAGATTCAGTAAATATGAGATTAGCTCAAATAAACTAATTTTGCTGTGAAATGCCACAAGATTTGTAGAGATGTTTTTACATTTACATTTAGTCATTTTGCCGACGCTTTTATCCAAAGCGACTTACAATTGGGGAATACATAAAGCGATTCTTCTTAAAGAGGCAAACAGACATAGGAAGTGCTTGAAATACCAAGTTTTAGGCATTGTTCAAATAAGCACAAGCTAGAAAAGGGATGGAATAAATAAAGAGAAAGAAAAGTTTTCTTTTTTTTTTTTTAAGATGAAGTCAAGTAGCGTTTAAAGAGATGATCAGCTGTTGCTTGAAAATTGTCAGGGATTCAGCATTCCGGATAGGGGTGGGAAGATCGTTCCACTAGCCAGGAACGGTGAACGAGAATGTTCTGGAAAGTGATTTTGAACCTCTCTGTGATGGTACCACGAGGCGTCGCTCCCTAGCGGATCTCAGACTTCTGGAGGGGATGTTTTTTTGTGTTTTGTTGGAGAACTGCAAGTATTTAGTCACTTTATTCTTACATTGATGTTTTTTATTCTTTAATTGATTGCCTGCTCATTAAGACACTGACAAAGAAACACCCAAATTAAACTGGGAAAATATGTTCCAAAATATATTTATTTATATGCATTATTAACATAAAAGTTGCATAGGCTAAAATTCCCATTTCACTGACATCTCTGATTATGTGTGAATATTATTGATGTGTTAGTCCATTCTAGTATTTTAGTTATGTTCAGTAATAGATTTTATTTGTGATGATCTGTTGACACACAATGAAATGAGCTTAATGTGCCAATTTACAGAAGATCTCAGACATCATCATAATGAATGAGCTGAAAACGGGGAACTATTGGCTTTTCAGCAGCTCATTTAGGCTAATGATAATCAGGAGAGATCATTCAGTGTAAATTAAGTGAAAATAATGTAAAACATGCACAGTTTAAAATCAATGGACCTCATTCATGAAACTTTCATAAATATATGAGTAAATTCAGAGTAATTTGCCCATAAAACGCACCTTCCCGAAAACTCTCCTCTGGATTCACAAACGTTTCGTAAACATCAGATTTGATAGTTAAACACGTAATGAATTCAATCATTCTTAAATGGTGCGGCGACATGCACGCTCATTCACAATTAGCATAACCCTGCCTAAGAATTAATTTACAACTAATTTACGTGTCCAGGAATGCAGTGGAATATTCTGGACTCCTTTCTCAGGTTTGGCTCCAATATACTGCATAAATACAATAAAAAATACTAATAGGCCATATGCCTAACAATAAATTTTCAATTATTGTGTGTCCACCAAAGCGTTGTAGCCAGCTGAAAAATGCCAGGCACTCTTCTGAAAATGACCAGCTCGCGCTTGAGAACGCTGCCACTGCGTTTTTCCAGACGCTCTCTTGTTGAAGAATATTACTGAATATATTATATTTTAAAGTATAATAAGGTAGGAAACCAATATTAGAAATTGCAATAATATTTAACAATATTACTGTATTTTTGATCAAATAAATACTGCCTTGGTCGGCAAAAGATACTTAAAAAAACAAACAAACAAAACAAAACAAAAAAACAATTACAAAATCTTACCAACCCCAAACATTTGAATAATAGTATGCCATATACATATGGCAGTTGAATGGAAAAAAAGAAAAGACAAAAAGTGTATAGACTTTGTAAACTTTGTTTTCTGTCCATGGAAAAGTAATACGTTCTGATTACTTCACAGGTGCCAATAACCTGCCAAAAGTGATTAGTTGTTCTTCAGCACTGTATTGGGTCTTTTTCATGAAACACAACACACATTTTTGTGTAGGTTGTTCGTAAACGCATTCTTATGTAAATTGTTTGGGAGAATTTGCTTAGCAAATGCTCTGCATTTCAGAGAGCTCCTGTCTTTTTGATCAAATAAATACAGCCTTGATGAGATAAGACTCCATAATTATTATTTTTTTATTATATAAAAGAGATATATATCAGATATATATAATAGGCCTGTGTGTGTGTGTCCCTTATTCTGTCCCTTATTTTTCTATGAAAAACCACGATTGTCTCTTATTTTCCTTTTCTGAAGTTGGCAACCCTAATTGCCAGTGATTATGGATTGTCCCTTATTTTCCTTTTCTGAAGTTGGCAACCCTACCTGTGATGTACGAGTGCTATCAGGCGTGTAACTGACAATTAGTGAAACAATAGTCTGACAGAAACAACAAGGCCGTCTGAGCTGCTGAAAAGCTCATTCATTATGATGGTGTTAAGAACCATTAACCATTAATAAGAACCATTATACACCTAAAAGTTTATTGAGATGTCTTTAATAGCCTACCCAGCAAGCAATAGCCATCATTTCAACGTCTCGGTTAAGTATAGACCCGATATAGTCCGGCTATGTGTAACCCACTTCTAGCCCAAATAACCTTGAATTTGATTTCATGTCGTTTTTTGGCAAAATAACTTGTGAGATGTATGATATTCCATCATGTAAGCAAAGTAACAGCGTTTACAAGGTGTTTGGTTTCATTTCTTTGACATGTTCAATACGTAGCCTGTGCGTAGCCACGATTTAGCTCATAGTCAGAGCGGCTATCTGTAGCCCACTTATGGCGCTTTTCCACTGTATGGTACGGCTCGGTACGGTTCACTTTTGGGGGGTTTTCCACTGGGTACAGTACCTTAGAAAGTGGGCCAATTTAGTCCCAAGGAGTATTGAAATAGTACACTTACAAGTATACTACTAGTCCACTGATATTGGTATACTTACTACATAAAGTATACTTAAAAATATACTTGAACTTTACTTAAGTATACTTACTAAAATAAACTTGAAGTATACTACTTTTTGGTAAGGGTTAGCTCGTAGTCAGAGCGGCTATCTGTAGCCCACTTATTCATGGATTTCAGTCACGTGACTTTTTTGTTGCGGCCGCCATCTTTAGGACCTTGCATAGCCTCTCCTTGGTAATCAGAAACCAAAATAACACTTCACCAACAACGGAAAACAATGGTATTTAAAAAAAATTGATACTTTAGGATTAGATCCTTATTTACTGTGAAGCGAACTGCTGACTCCACTAAAGTCTAAGGAAAACTTACCAATTTGACGTCTGCTGGCTATTTACATCTACCTCATACACAATCCCTCTCCGTACACTCGGGCCATTTTCAGTTAAATTTTCACCTGCTAGAGACTTGTCCATCGGCCCTGATCCATCTGCAGCACCCGGCCTGGATGCTTGCGTACTAACTTTCAGATTCTGGGCCGAATCAACCGGACCAGATGCGACAGCCGTAACTTGCCAACACTGCGGCATCTAAGCCGGACTTGGCCCGTTGCGCAGCACACCAGACTTAGCACAATTGCATTTCTATATCTACTGTAGCCTACTGTTCATTAATATTTCATTTAAAATTAATAACGGTACCTAGACAAAACGTTTACTTTCATTTTAATTATATAGATTATAATACATAAATAACATGACTTACCAAATCTATAAACATCTCATTATTATGAAAGCGATTTAGTACAACAGCTCCCCCCAACCTAGCACCCGTCTAGGCAGGTTTGGAATAGGGAGACTGAGGAAAGGTGCACGGGCCCACGCTTGTCAGACTATTCATGGGTTTCAGTCACATGACTTTTTTGTTGCGGCCGCCATCTTTAGGACCTTGCGTAGCCTCTCCTTGGTAATCGGAAACCAAAATAACACTTCACCAACAACGGAAAACAATGGTATTTAAAAAAAATTGATACTTTAGGATTAGATCCTTATTTACTGTGAAGCGAACTGCTGACTCCACTAAAGTCTAAGGAAAACTTACCAATTTGACGTCTGCTGGCTATTTACCTCTACCTCATACACAATCCCTCTCCGTACTCTCGGGCCATTTTCAGTTAAATTTTCACCTGTTAGAGACTTTTAATTATATAGATTATAATACATAAATAACATGACTTACCAAATCTATAAACATCTCATTATTATGAAAGCAATTTTAAAGTGTGACGTCACATGAAACCTATGAATAGTCAAACCTGATTCACTGTAGTTTTTGGCCAGGCAGCGCGTGAGATGGTTGATATCCCCATCATGTTCGCAGTGTCATATACCAGTAACCAGTCCAGCGATGAGCATGGCCAAAATAGCCTTAAAATTGTTTACATGGAGATATTCTCCAAAATGGCACCAGGGTGATGCGGAGGAGACGATTTGTTGAATAAAGTGGTAATTTTTTTTCTTTTGCACACAAAAAGTATTCTCGTAGCTGCACTGATGTCACATGGATTATTTTACAGATCTTCTTGCTATGTCTCTGGACTTGGGAACATTTCAGTTGTATTGCTGTCTATGCAGGGTCAGACAGCTCTCAGATTCCATCAAAAATGGAATGGACACATTGACTTTGTGTGATAGTACAATGAAGTGTTACAGTATGTATTGGTTTAAATTGGTGTCTTTGTTTACTCTCAACACTGTATTCTTGCTCCTGATCTAATGAAATAAATGGAGCCCATTCCAAATAGGCACTGATGCTGATTTTTTTGGGTCTATTCTTATTCTAAGATAACTATGACTCCAGTGAAGCACTAAAGTAACTACTTCAGAAAACTGAAAGAAGAGTTTGTACCTTGAGAACTTCATCCCATGTTATGTCAGCTCAGCAGCAATATCAAATGAGGTGCTCATGCGTTTCTCTTATAATGTGCATAAAAGGGATAGTTCAAGTAGTTATATTTTTCCCTAATTTTTCATCAATGTATAATGTATCTGACGGTCGTCTTTTAGGGATTATCAGACGCTGTTAAGTTTAAAGAAGTTTTTTTTTTTTTTAATTCCCGCCGTTTTGAATCCATACAGATGTCCGTTACGCTCTCGATCTGATTCGCGCTCTGTTTTAATGGTCTCTAATGCAGCACTGGGCTCAAATAAAATAGCCTACATACTAAATTGTATTATATCATTCTCTAGATAAGTTCAGCTCAGTACTGTATGGGAGAATATTTATTATTTATGTGGAAAATACTGTGGAACCGCATGCATTTTTTAGGCTTCACAGTGCCGAGAAACTAACACTGGCACACATATTACTAGAAAATACGACATTTTAAACCATACTTGTACTCTTCTTTGACAACATACTTAATTGTACACATATCAAACCAATAAATACAAATATTTACTAACCAAATTTGTTGATTGAGAATAATTTCAAACTTTGTGTAGGAGCTCAACGGCTGACGAAGTTAACGTCTTCTGTCTGCTCTGCAACGGTTTTCACGAGTTCTCGTGATAAGTGATGTTGAGAACGTGACATCGTTATTGAATTGATTCAACACATTTTTTTTTAAGTTGAAGGGGCAAATACTCTAGTTCAGTCAGTCGAGACAGTGAGAACTTAATGTTAAGTTGAATAAACAAATTCAGAAACTGCAAGTTGTGTCAACTTAAAAAAATAATTGAAACAACTAAACTGCGAGATAATTTTTATAAGCTTTAAGCATAAAAGGTTCATCCCTTACGAAAATTAACCACGGTTTTACTACAAATAAAACCAAAAAAACATGGTTACTACAGTTAAACCATGGAAACTACAAATTAACCATGGTTCTGTCAGGACCACAATCGTCAAAATGATAGATACTTAGCATAAAGTTTGGTTTGGCGGTATGGTTCTGTTCTGGGCAAAAACCTCCCTGCCCATCCATGCAGCCTGTCATGAATGAGCAGGGAGAGCAGCAATAATACCCCCCCTAGGGTTAACAGAAGAGAACAAGGCAGATATTATGCCAGAACTAACGCTAACGCTAAATTTTTGCTACACTAACCATAGTTTAACCATTGTATTTGTAGTAAAACTGGTTATACAAATGGTAAACAATACGCCAAAAAACCTGGTTACTACACTTTTACTACGATAAAACCATGGTTAACTTTGATATAGGTTATACTAAAATGGTTTTTTTTTTCAAACTACTTGACTTTACAAACATTTGACATATTAAATATATATGATTAAGCGTCTATTTCAAGGTGCAGCAGATTTTCTACATAGTCTAATGCTTTTTACACAGTTCAACCTGTTACATTTCTTCATTAGGGTAATAAAAATTAACATTCTATGACTTCTAAAATGAATGACTTCTACTCAGCCAACAGCAAGAAGGAGGCTCGTAAAATGGGGGGAGAACCTGCATCAGCACCACTGACGGATTAATATAGCGATGAATATCAAGTGAACGTCTTTTATCAGATTAGCCTAATTTAAAGCGATTTGTACAGCACTGACCTGCAGACCGTGAACACAAACATTCTCAGAAAGAGCGTGAGAGCGAGGCACACTTTCCTTACCATTCAACATACAGCGGCCTTACTAATGCGATGCATCTCCAATGTTATATAGAAAACTACTATTTAAAATGGTACCGCTCAAATAATAAATATAATGGGGTAAGAAAAATAATCTTGTTTTCCATTTGCATTAAGATTATTTTTTTCACGCCATTGGGTATGAAATTACTATGAAATTACTACAATAACACAAAGATACAAATGAAATAAACAGTGCTTTATGTTTTTTTCAGGTAGGTCTGATACTCAGGAATGAAAATCTGTAAATGTGTATTGAAAATTTCATATCACGTTATAGTGACCAAAATGATCACAGTTATCAATATTACGATGGTATTGTTAAAATGTGCTGGAAATATAAAAAATAAAAGTACTCACACTGAAATCAAGTTTAAACAAACAGAAAATATTGATGCTACAGAAACCATTCCTGCACTCATTGTTTTTTTTTTGTTTTAATTGTATTAGCATAAATTAGGCTGTCTGTCGTTTTTTATTTAAACCAGTTATATATAACATAACTGAAATGCAAGGTTTATCATTTTATAAAATGTTTTGGTTTTGTCTAAATGTTTTTTTTTAAACCTGAATTAGTTAAGCGCAAGCCCCGCACTACTGCTGATTTCATTGGTCAACTCAATCACTCAGTCACCCTTCAACAATATTGTAGACTTCTTGGATTCAGTTCACAGCTCTTTCTGGTGAGAGAAATACATAAATGAAGAAGAAGCACAAAATATTAAATGTCATGGATGAATAAGTACTGAGTAATCAATCAATTTTGATGAGCAGGGTATTTTTTTAAAGGTAAAGATTTGCAGCCAAATTACAGGGTAAAAAAATTACTTGAGAAAGATTGCTGCATCTTATTTTATAATTTTGAACAGAGGTCATTTAGTAAAATCAGTTGAGTTTAGCAACAGCTGCTGCATTATATGCCAATGGTGACACTTCAATGATGGAAGATTCGATTCGGGGTAATTTGGTTGCTTTGTCACAACCTAACCCTATACTAAAGTTTGTACTGGATTTGTTTCAGTGTTGTGTAGGCATGTCACTGTGATTGACACGACCAATGAAATCTTCAGAATCTGTGGTGGGCGGAGTTTGTGCTTTAACTGTGTTTAAAAGGTGAGGAACATTCATGTCATCCTACAGGACTGGTGCAGACTCCAGGTGCAGCAGCTGAAATCTGACACATACTGTGGTAAAGATGGAGTTTGTTAAAGAGGAGATTGATGACACGAGTGTTTCAGAACCATCCAGAATAAAACATGAAGATACTGAGGAACAAACAGGTTGGTGTCCATTCTTGATTCTTCATTGTTGACTGCTGAGAAACATTAAAGGTTCTGTTAAAAAGATTTAGTGGCTGATCATATCAACATTTAAATTTTATGAACAAGGAATGACAGAATATGCTTTGGCACATCAAAGATCGGATACTTGATACTCACAGATAAACATGTGATCTCTTTTGTTTTCTGCTATTAAATCATGTTCACTTGAACTGATTTTAACCACATCATTTGTTTATTTTAGACTGGATGGAAGTATAACAGCAAAGACATGAGGTGAATGAAGTGGAGGAGGAACGTTGTAAAATCAAAACTTCTAGAAAAAAAGCCAAACAGCTTCACACCTGCTCACAGTGTGGAAAGAGTTTCAGACAAAAAGGAGTCCTTAAGAAGCACATGAGAATCCACACTGGAGAGAAACCATACACATGCCCTCAGTGTGGAAGGAGTTTTGCTGATGCATCTGGTCTCAGTTATCATCTGCACATTCACTCTGGAGAAAAGCCATTTAGCTGTGATCAGTGTGGAAAAGATTTTATTTCGCCATCAAATCTAAAGAACCATCTGAAAGTTCATTCAGATGAGAAGCCTCAATTTATTTCTTCATCACATCTAAAGGAACACCTGACAGTTCATTCAGATGAGAAGCCTCATGTGTGTTCTTACTGTGGAAAGTGTTTTTCATGGTTGACCAGTTATAAACTACACCAGAAAACACATAATGAAGTGAAATATCACATGTGTTTTGAGTGTGATAAGAGCTTTACTAGAGCTGATCATCTGAAACGGCACCAAATAATTCATACTGGAGAAAAACCTTACAAGTGCTCATATTGTGACAAGAGTTTCACTTTGTCTGAACACCTGAAAATACATGAGCGAGTTCATACTGGAGAGAAACTTTACCACTGTACTCAGTGTGAAGAGAGTTTTTGACAATCATCAAACCATCTCACTCATATAAGAAAACATTGCAAGTGAGCAACATTAATTTTCATGTCAAATACATTCACGTAAATTGTCTGATATAAATATAGAGTTTGTCTTAAAGGAACAATATATCATCTAGTTTTGAGAATGTGGCGGTGAAAACTTTTAGAACTATAAAAAGACTTAAGAGTGGAACTTCAGTCAACTCTTACAGTGTTAATAAAATGTTTTTACAAAATCACATTTGGGTGCAAAGTAGGTCTTCCTTAAAAATAGATATATTCATGTCATTTACAATTTGCTAAGTGTAGAATTTATGAAAAATTAAACAGAAACAACATCTTGCTGTGAGTCTGGGAAGAGCTTTATTGTGTTCTACAAAATGATATATGTCTGTGAGAATATAAAGAGAGACCAATTTTGAGTATTTCTATTTTTTTATTAATTGAAATGTATTGTAATGCTCTTTGATTTGTTGTCAACCAATGCAATGAAGAATGAAATACTAGTAGATTTACTGATTCACATGTATGATGATAGTATATTTGATCCATAACAGTACAGAGATGTGATTTATTTGAGAATATGCGGCCCCTTTATAAAGGCACTGCACGCACTGAGCATGCGCAGAAGAGATGAGCGCGCCAGAGTCAAGTGCTGGTACTCTCAATAGATTCAAATGAAGCACGATCATGAATGAAGGAGGATTTGTGGAATATTTTCACCAAATGCCGTATATCTCTGGCCTGCATGTGAAATAATTTTCTTTGAGTCAGTATTTAAAGTTTAAATACTAATGTAATGAAATGCATCATGTTATTAATTAGCGTCTAATATGTTGGCAGAGAGTGTGGCAGCATGTTGACACTGATAAAAAATGCTTAATGTGTCAATTTACAGAAGATCTCAGACATCATCATAATGAATGAGCTGAAAACAGGGAACTGTAGGAGACAAAGAGGCTTTTCAGCAGCTCAGTTAAACATGATGGCCCTGTTTCTAGGCCTAAGATTATGGACAATATCTAACTGTATTGTTCTTAATTGTTGTTCTTTGTGTTGATTGTTTGCAGTTCTCCTGCATAACGCCTAAAAAGGTGAAAGTATATAATGCACTTATAAATTAAATCAAAATCAGCAGGCCAGAATAACAGGATTTGGGTCATTTATTCCCTTTTTTCCAAACACAATGCTCTACACTCCAGTAGGTGGCGCAAATGCACCTTAAAGTGGTTTACAAACTACCACATAATGTAAAAGCGGAAGATCGTCCTGAGAATAAATAACAGGAGAAATCGACTGAAATATGAGAAATATGGAGTTTGTTAAAGTGGAGATTGACGACATGGGTGATCCAGAACCATGTAGAGTTAAACATGAAGATACTGAGGAACAAACAGGTTGGTTTCTATTCTCGATTTGAGCAATATATACATGATACAGAAAATGCATTTAAATGATCACAACCTTGTATAGCAGCTGTCATCCACATTTTAATTGTATTAACAAGAGAATGACAGAACTAACCTTCAGCACATCAAAGATCTGATACTTTATGCAGAGACCTCTGTTGCTTTCTGCTAATAAATCAGGATTCACTTGAATTGATTTTAATCACATAATATTTTTATTTTAGACTGGATGGAATTGAAACAGCAAATATGTGAAATGAATGAAGCAGAGGATGAACGTTGTAGCTACCTTCCAAGCTCAAAGAAGAAAAGCCAAAAAGCTGCACACCTGCTCACAGTGCGGAAAAAGTTTCACACACAAAGGAAATCTGAACACACACGTAAGAATGCACACTGGAGAGAAACCGTACACATGCCATCAATGTGGAAAGAGTTTTACTCGTTCATCAGGTCTCAGTAAACATATGCTCTGTCACTCTGGAATCAAGCCATTTATCTGTTATCAGTGTTGTAAACATTTTATTTCATCATCAAAACTAAAAACACACCTGACAGTGCATTCGGATGAGAAGCCTCATGTGTGTTCTTACTGTGGAAAGAGTTTTTCACGGCTGGACGGTTGTAAACAGCATCAAAAAACACACGATGAAGTGAGAGATCATGTGTGTTGTGAGTGTGGAAAGGGCTTTACTACGGCTAGTCAACTAAAACAGCACCAAAGAATTCATACTGGAGAAAAACCTTACAAGTGCTCATATTGTGACAAGAGTTTCACTGTGTCTGGAAACCTGAAAATACATGAGCGAGTTCATACTGGAGAGAAACCGTACCACTGTACTCAGTGTGGAAAGAGTTTCAGCAAATCAAAGACTCTTGTGACTCATATGGAAAAGCATTGCTCTGCATCACTGTGAGCAAATGTTTTCTTCAGATTTCAAGTCAATAATGTGAGATTCAGATACAGTAAATATGAAATTAGCTCAAATAAACTACACTGAACAAAATTATAAACACAACACTTTTGTTTTTGCCCCCATTTTTCATGAGCTGAACTCAAAGATCTAAGACTTTTTCTATGTACACAAAAGGCCTATTTCTCTGAAATATTGTTCACAAATCTGTCTAAATCTGTGTTAGTGAGCACTTCTCCTTTGCCGAGATAATCCATACACCTCACAGGTGTGGCATATCAAGATGCTGATTAGACAGCATGATTATTGCACAGGTGTGCTTTAGGCTGCATGGCCACAATAAAAGGCCACTGCCAAAGAGAATTTGGCAGTACATCCAACTGGCCTCACAACCGCAGACCACGTGTAACCACACCAGCCCAGGACCTCCACATCCAGCATCTTCACCTCCAAGATCGTCTGAGCCCAGCCACCCGGACAGCTGCTGCAACAATCGGTTTGCATAACCAAAGAATTTCTGCACAAACTGTCAGAAACCGTCTGAGCAATATATACATGATACAGAAAATGCATTTAAATGATCACAACCTTGTATAGCAGCTGTCATCCACATTTTAATTGTATTAACAAGAGAATGACAGAACTAACCTTCAGCACATCAAAGATCTGATACTTTATGCAGAGACCTCTGTTGCTTTCTGCTAATAAATCAGGATTCACTTGAATTGATTTTAATCACATAATATTTTTATTTTAGACTGGATGGAATTGAAACAGCAAATATGTGAAATGAATGAAGCAGAGGATGAACGTTGTAGCTACCTTCCAAGCTCAAAGAAGAAAAGCCAAAAAGCTGCACACCTGCTCACAGTGCGGAAAAAGTTTCACACACAAAGGAAATCTGAACACACACGTAAGAATGCACACTGGAGAGAAACCGTACACATGCCATCAATGTGGAAAGAGTTTTACTCGTTCATCAGGTCTCAGTAAACATATGCTCTGTCACTCTGGAATCAAGCCATTTATCTGTTATCAGTGTTGTAAACATTTTATTTCATCATCAAAACTAAAAACACACCTGACAGTGCATTCGGATGAGAAGCCTCATGTGTGTTCTTACTGTGGAAAGAGTTTTTCACGGCTGGACGGTTGTAAACAGCATCAAAAAACACACGATGAAGTGAGAGATCATGTGTGTTGTGAGTGTGGAAAGGGCTTTACTACGGCTAGTCAACTAAAACAGCACCAAAGAATTCATACTGGAGAAAAACCTTACAAGTGCTCATATTGTGACAAGAGTTTCACTGTGTCTGGAAACCTGAAAATACATGAGCGAGTTCATACTGGAGAGAAACCGTACCACTGTACTCAGTGTGGAAAGAGTTTCAGCAAATCAAAGACTCTTGTGACTCATATGGAAAAGCATTGCTCTGCATCACTGTGAGCAAATGTTTTCTTCAGATTTCAAGTCAATAATGTGAGATTCAGATACAGTAAATATGAAATTAGCTCAAATAAACTACACTGAACAAAATTATAAACACAACACTTTTGTTTTTGCCCCCATTTTTCATGAGCTGAACTCAAAGATCTAAGACTTTTTCTATGTACACAAAAGGCCTATTTCTCTGAAATATTGTTCACAAATCTGTCTAAATCTGTGTTAGTGAGCACTTCTCCTTTGCCGAGATAATCCATACACCTCACAGGTGTGGCATATCAAGATGCTGATTAGACAGCATGATTATTGCACAGGTGTGCTTTAGGCTGCATGGCCACAATAAAAGGCCACTGCCAAAGAGAATTTGGCAGTACATCCAACTGGCCTCACAACCGCAGACCACGTGTAACCACACCAGCCCAGGACCTCCACATCCAGCATCTTCACCTCCAAGATCGTCTGAGACCAGCCACCCGGACAGCTGCTGCAACAATCGGTTTGCATAACCAAAGAATTTCTGCACAAACTGTCAGAAACCGTCTCAGGGAAGCTCATCTGCATGCTCGTCGTCCTCATCGGGGTCTCGACCTGACTGCAGTTCGTCATCGTAACCGACTTGAATGGGCAAATGCTCACATTCGATGGCATCTGGCACTCGTCATCGTAACCGACTTGAGTGAGCAAATGCTCACATTCACTCTGGAGAAAAGCCTTTTATCTGTTATCAGTGTGGTAAAAAGTTTATTTCATCATCAAATCTAAAAACACACCTGACAGTTCATTCAGATGAGAAGCCTCATGTGTGTTCTTACTGTGGAAAGAGTTTTTCACGATTGGACAGTTATAAACTGCACCAGAAAACACATAATGAAGTGAGAGATCACATGTGCTTTGAGTGTGATAAGAGCTTTTCTACAGCTGACTCTTTGAAACATCACCAAAAGATTTGGGCAGGTCATTCCACCGGGAGGGAACAGTTAATGAAAAAGTCAGTGAAAGTGATTTTGTGCCTCTTTGAGATGGCACAATAATATGACGTTCACTTGCAGAATGCAAGCTTCTAGAGGGCACATAAAACATCCATTTATATAAATGTATCTGTTTACAATAAAGCCACAATACCAACTACCAACAGGAGGTTTCCGTCTGACAGCAAAAATTTATTTTGCCTGTGTCACAATATGAGATAAATCCAGCCCTGTACATGATACTGATTTTTGTTGCCAAACTGGTTTGGAACAGTTGTTGAATAAACGACTAAACTGAAATAGTATGTCTGTCTATCTGCTTGACTGACAGTTTTATTGATCACCGAGACCTTCTAGAGGCACATAACTCTGAAGTAATGAATTTAGGTAAATGGGTGCAGAGCCAGTGGTGGTTTTGTAGGCAAACATTAATGCCTTGAATTTAATGCGAGCAGCTACTGGTAGCCAGTGCAAATTGATGAACAGAGGTGTGACATGTATGTATACATGTATATGCATTATTATATATGCAACATAAAAGTTGCATAGGCTAAAATCTCCATTTCACTGACATCTCTGATATTATTGATGTGTTAGTCCATTCTAGTATTTTAGTTATGTTCAGTAATAGATTTTATTTGTGATGATCTGTTGACACACAATGAAATGAGCTTAATGTGCCAATTTACAGAAAATCTCAGACATCATCATAATGAATGAGCTGAAAACAGGGAACTATTGGCTTTTCAGCAGCTCATTTAGGCTAATGATAATCAGGAGAGATTATTCAGTGTAAATTAAGTGAAAATAATGTAAAATATGCACAGTTTAAAATCAATGGAACTCATTCATGAAACTTTCATAAATATATGAATAAATTCAGAGTAATTTGCCCGTAAAACACACCTTCCCGAATCCTCTGGATTCACAAACGCTTGGTAAACATCAGATTTGATAGTTAAACACGTAATGAATTCAATCATTCTTAAATGGTGCGGCGACATGCACGCTCATTCACAATTAGCATAACCCCGCCTAAGAATTAATTTACAACTAATTTACGTGTCCAGGAACGCAGTGGAATATTCTGGACTCCTTTCTCAGGTTTGGCTCCAATATATTGCATAAATGCGATAAAAAAGACTAATAGGCCATATGCCTAACAATACATTTTCAATTATTGTGTGTCCACCAAAGCGTTGTAGCCAGCTGAAAAATGCCAGGCGCTGTTCTGAAAATGCCCAGCTCGCGCTTGAGAACGCTGCCACTGCGTTTTTCCAGACACTTTGGTTGCTATGATTTGGAATATCCACGGCACTAACGTATTACTAGTAGGCTATCTCTTTTTGAA